CTGAACTTTATATTTACTTTTAAGAGGAATTTCAATTTTCTTTATAATAACATTTAGAAAATCTTTAACTAAATATGTTTATAATAACAAAAATCAATCTTTACTATTAAAGTTAATTGTTTTCTTGTTTAATGATTTGATTAAATTGGTTAAAAGCCTTAAGAGGAGCTCATGAAATTAATCATGATTAACTTTTCAACCATCATGAGTATATCAATTTTGTATCTCTTTACCAAAGAACCGTGAATCATTAGATAATATTTATAAGTTTCCAGAACGTTTTCTTTATTCATTTTCTGGAAAATTTTGTTCGAAGGTTAAAATTTATTATATTCAAATCTCGAACATCATCATTATCATTATCTCGTATTAACACCTTCTAACACTTCCCTCATCGAGTTACTCTGTATGTATAAGCTTCATTGTAAAGTATTAATAGTACAAAGAAGTCTTGTTTTGGAATTTTCGACAGATTATCATCATACGACAGATAAATAAACTTCACGAATAGTTAGCTTATCATAAATATCATGGTGCTAATGGTCTGATTCGGTAGCTTGAGATTTTTTATTTGAAGAGTAAAAAAATTCAGAACATTGCTCTTAAAAAGTCCTGGCAGTGATTGCTTGGTTACTCATGGTGAGCGGAAAATTGTCATTGTTTCCTTATGATAAGAAATCAAGTCAATTCTGAAATAATGAATCGAGAAAAAGTTTTTAGAATCAATCATGAACTTTCAAAATTAAATGAGAAGTTCTGATTCCTTTGAATGAGAAAAAATAACTAAATGAACACTTTATCGAAAACTATTGGTCAATTATTGAAGCGAAATCGTTAAAGGAGTAGAAAAACTCTAATTCGGAGTAATATATATTCTAGATTATCGAATGAGATTTAATCTTAATGCTAATCAAACTTATGAGATAAAAGTGACAAGTATCTCCTTTGTGGATAGATTCAAGAGCTTCATGAATTTATCTTATTTAAGGTGGACAATCATGATGACCATGATGAAGATAATAATGAAAATGAGTCAATTCTTGTCACTTGTTATTAGTAACCAAGGAGATGAATTGAAAAATTACAGGAATGGTAACGAGTCACGATTGATTAAGAAGATGATAAAAGTGAAATGAGATGATGAACCAATCAAATTGATTAAGTTTTCATCATCTCAAGAGGATGAGATGAGAATGAAGATAATGATGAGGATGGGCAAGAGAAGTTGGATCAAAGAACAACAAAAAATGAACATGAACAAGTGGATAACTTTTGTACCATCGATAGATGATTTTTATATTTATCTTCATGATCTGTTATTAGTATTAGTAGGTAAGCGCACGCCTCTAATGTAGCTCTTCTGTTAATGCTAATGGTTTTGTTGATTGTTCATGATACAAATGAATCAACAATTTTTGATAAAAACAAACGATAATAATCACAATCGAGATACATCATCGAGATACGTCCTAGTTAGAAATACGGATTTAAACTTAATTTTGTCCATAATTCAAAGGCATCTGTATTCTGAACTAAGGCAATAAAAGTGAATTAAATTGATATTTGAAATTGGATAACATTGTTATTATTCACATGCTAATATGAAATTGACCGGATTTATTATAGTAATTGAATTACTGATAATCGAAACATTGACCATAAATAGTTGCGTTATTTGTAACTTATGCTTGGATATTAAAATTTACCAGAAATCTCTGTTTATCATGACCTGAAAATTTTATTTAAATTTGATACATGATTAGCTAATTTGATATAAAAGATTTGATAGCATGTACTCACCTGAAGCTGATTCAACTCAAGGAACATGAAATAAACAATTTAGCAAATTTTATATTGATTCATTTCCCAAGTCGAGTTTCATTCATCTCTTTCAATTGGCTCTCAATTTGGATTGCAATTCACCAAGAATTTATTCAGAAAATCATTTCGTTATCTTTGCACTTGATTCAACAATTGTATTTTAATAGTCGATAGTTACATTCATGAACAGTCCAAATATCGTTAACTGATGTTTTTGTTTTTTCTGATGTTCAATGTTTTGAAAAAAAACAGCCTTGAGCGTGATGTTTTTCAATCTGGAATCTCTTAGATCTTTTAGTAACGTTTACTCAATTTATTCAAATTTGGTATTAATTTATCATTCGTAATGTTATGTTATTGCTACTAAATGCTATTATATTAAGTTAGAAATGTTATTTCTTAACTACCACACAAAAAGCATATTAGTATTAATGCTAAATATAATTGTTATTGTGACGTAGCTCGTTAAGTGCAACTCATGAAGATTATAAAAGTACTGCTACAATGTGGGGCCGAAGACATTTTTTTGGGATAATGTTTTCTCATCTCAGTGTTCTTAGGGTTTGCTAATCTACTCAATCAGATTGGATATTGTTTTACGTAATTTTTTTTCTTTTCCCATGACAGTACTAGCTATATGATGGATTCGTAACTGATGAACGTTTGAAAAAATTCCGTTACCATGAATATTATTCATGGTGATTATCATAACAATAGATTGTGTTTGTTGTATTTTATCCTATGAACTTCATAGTATGAAGATCATAATAATTTTGGTTCATCTGTTGCACAAATCTTTTGCTATACCATGATAAATATTGAGATAATTTCTGAATAAATAGATAACTAATTATTCTAATTTGTTTCTACGTTACATCATCTTAACGTTTGAAGTCTGTTGTTTTTTCATAATGATATATTTCTAATTATTTACAAATTCTCAATAATTGCACATTGATCAGATATTGAGTGCATCTATTAGATGAAAAATATTAATCTCGCTGGTTGGAAAATGGAGAATGAATAAATTCAGTTTATCACGAAATTGATCATGAAATAATTTGTGACCAAATAGATGGGAGTATTTAATAATAAATATAACGGATTTAGAAGTTATGTAAATAGTGAATTATTGTTGAGAGAGAGAGAGAGAGAGAAAGAAAGACATAATCTTAGAACTTTTATTAATATTCGAGGGAAAAAAAGTTTTGATTGAATCATATGAGAATTGGAAAGAAGAAATGAGAGAGAAACTTTAATAATTTTCATAAAATCGGAAGAATCTGTCTCGAACTTTTTCTCGTTTTTTATCATCATAATCATGATACTCACATGATCAAAAACTGCGATCGAGTCTAAATTGAGTAACAAACTATCAGAGCAGAAATGAAAGTGATGATAAAGTGTAATTGAAAATAGAAGGGGATCAAATCATCTGTTCAATGAGTTTCCTTGAATTTAATAACTCCCATTTCATAATCGTGGTGATGATAATAAAAACTGTTGGTATTAATAGACTGAGATCAATTTCATTGGTATGATAATGCTGTTATTGTTGTCGATGAAATAATAAATACACAAACTTACTGAAGATGAAATAATTTTATAATTTAATCTTAACAGATCCAATATACTGAACTTTCAAACATGGATTTCAAAACCATATTTAACTAAGAGATTAATACTCAACATGGAGTTCTGAGTCAGTGGAGACAATCATAAAAGCTTTTATAATCAGTTTGGATCTTAATTAGTTTACTAACTTCTTACATGTAAAAGATCAACTTAAAGTCAGAATATCAACAAATTACATGATCATTATCAACTAAATACATGATTAGCATTTCAATGAACAAATATTCTCATCTCCAAACTGATTTAACCTTGCGATAGTTTTGAGCAAGTCTATCACTAGAAAGCAAGTTTTCTGAATAAAAGCTCACAGGGAAAAAGTTCTTACCTCTTGAGTAAATTAAAAATCACTATTCCAATTCTCAAGCCATTAATCATGGCGACATAAACTCAATCCCTGATGATCATCTTGAATTACAATTATCTTTCATTATATCATGATAATTATCCCCACCCATTGATCAATGCTCACCCACTCCACCCTCGTGCTCAAAGACAATGATACATTTGTTAATAGTAAAATCACATTAAAAGTAATCATAATATTTTCCCCTTTTGCAAAATTTAACAATCAATGTTGAAAAAATCATAACTATGATAACATTAATTCATGACATTATCACATTATCTCAATCCCATTCAAATTCAAATAGGGTGTAACAATTGAGGGAAAAAAGTGGTTACCATGATGATGAAGGTATAATATCATAATTATCATCATCAAAAGTTGAAAGTAGTTGATGATATTTTGACAATTCTGACAATCAGATATAACATAATTTCCTATTTGAAATTTTATCTAACATCATGAAGAACTAGAAAAATAAAATAAAATAAATTTCCAAACACTCAGAATTTAAATTACTGTAAAAGTGTTGAAAGTTTGTTTCTTCCAAGTATTTATCATCATTCTCATGATGATGGTAATGATGATGTACATGTGAATAAATTTAATGATTTGGAAATTCAGAGAAATTAATATATTTCCCATTACAATAATTATCATGACATAATAATGTCATCTATCACTAATGATCTAATTATTGATGAGGTTTATGATTTCAATATCATCATGAACATCATGATATCCATAATGATAGATTAGGATTATCGTTGATTTATTCAGAGACGGAGAGAGGAAGATAAAGTTAAATGAAAAAATAGATTCATCTATCAAAATAATCATAAAGGTAACAATCACCATCGATACTCACGTAGTAATCAACTGATTGTTCACATTGATTGTAAGGAAATTGCTTCTTTTTTGATAACCTGTCATGATAAATGTATATTCATCTTGTTGAATTTTCAGGTTAGCATTTTAATTTTCAATCAGACTGATTAGCATGATGACAATCCTGATGATACATATTAATATTTTCAATAGCAAATGATAATCAATGACTTTGTTATCACCTTTGAATAATAATTAACTTCTTAACTTTAACATGTAACCTTATTAATCTTTGTAATTTTGGTGTTTTTTTTTCTCGCCTTCATAATTTTATCATCATCATGGTTACCAAATCAACTAAACAAAACTTTAGGTCAACCCAGGCCAACATTAACATGGTGGAAAGATGATAAACCTTTAATAGCCTCTTATGAAATTATATCAAATGAAGTGACCCGAAGTGACCTAAGCCTTACCAATCTAAGTCGACCCTTACTACTTTCAAAGATAACATGTAAAGCGGTTAACAGCCCATTAACTGATCCATTACAAACATCAATCACAATTAACCTTAACTGTAAGTTAAATTACTTATAAAAACAACAAACATGGAGATAAACAAAATGTTTAACAATTAACTTTATTCATTCATGTGTATTGGATAGTAAATTGTTTATATGATGATAGTTACAATCAATTATTTTTACGATGATATGGAAACTCATAGATTCCAGTTTTGATTCATATCAGGGAGTTGGAAATTTTCACTCCCAGTGGTTCAAATTTTAATCAATCATCTGGGGAGAGGTTTAACTATTAGGGTGATCATTTCATGAGATAAAAGATGGAAAATCATTGTCATGGAAATTGTATTTACTACTTTCCATCTCGAACAGAATTAGAAATGAAAAAAAAAACTAACCCTCGAACCTTTTGACAGGTCACAAAACAGTAAAGTCTATCTTGTTTTACTATCTTAATGATATTTACTACTCTCAATGGTTAATGTTGAACTATTTTTAACTAAATCATCTTCATGAACACCCTAAGAATTTTCTTGAGATTTTCATGATAATAATGATACTCATTCATTGAAATTACCATTGGTGTAACATTAATAACCATTCATTATATAAATGTAGGGGAGAAAATGTATTTGAATAACTTTGTCTTCTTCCTCAATGAATATCTTCATTCATGATAGTTTCAAGTATTCAGCTAATGATTAATATTAATCGTCTCTGTCAAGTGAAAGTATTCATTTCAAAACAATTTGCTTTATAAAGCAAAACTAATGGTGACCTTTTAATATTGAGGGAAGCCAAGAAATAGCTCAGAACTTTTTTTTTACTCATTCTTCTCATTTTCAGAATTCTCATCATGATATATATAAGTGTAAACCATTCACTCCATGATATCCTTAAGCTTAAACATTGATTAACCTAAAAGCCAAAGTGTAATGACCCACCTTCTCACCTTTGTCCCACTTAACACTCTCTCATTTTCTTACCTTAAACCTGGTTAACTGATGATAATTTAGTTCTGACCAAATGAACATGATAACAGTATAATGATATCATGGACTAGATGGTAAACAGAATTTTACAGAATTTCAACATTTAGTTGTGAACTTTTTTTCTCTCGCTTCTTCTAATAGTTTTGTGAGAAGAGAAATAAATTTTTCAATTCGTTACAATTATCACAATTATCGCTACGAGAATAATTTACACACCATTTGATTTGAACAATTGAACTTTGGGTGTTTTTGAGGAAGAAAAAGAGTCAAAAAAAAGTTCTAAATGAAAAAGTTTTGTCATTTTCGACGAAAAAGAAGAAGAAAAAAAAACTCTCAAAGTAAATGAAGGATAAAATTTGAAAAAATATCTCATGAAAACTCATACGAATACAATAGATTCGGAGGGTTAATAGTAATTGTTACACGAATTGTAATCAATGTGAAAGTTTCTTAATAGTTGAACAATTTACCGAAAATGATTAAGTTGCAACAATTTAATTTTTTTTATTGCACAACAATCATAATGATAGTAAATCATCAAACCATTTAATTGTCTCTAAACTTATTGATTAGAATTACAAGTTATTACTTAATTGTTACTGATTAACTATTGATACTAATACTTTAGTCTTTTTTGAGACAAAATCTTAAAGGTCATTTATAAGAAGCTAAAACTGACCAGGTTAATAACTGAGAGTAGACTTTATTTAAACTAACAAAATATTGTACACAATCAGTTGAAGTAATAATAATAATCAACGTAATGATAATAGTATCCAGAGACTTTGCAAACTCAATCTACTTTTATTATATCCATTGGATTCTAACTTTTTCTTGTATGAAATATTATCGTCATTATCATTATATCATTGGGGATAAAAATATATATCCAGAAATCGGTGGACATTCAGCTAAGGGTCATCATCAGAAGTTGCTGGTCATTTCTCTGTCCAGTCAACAATTTTTTTACAGAGATAAACACATTTCACTTTGCAGAAAGACAGAAATAGACAGAGAAATTTATCATTAACTTATTTCTTTCTTTTTCTACTTCTGTATTGTGATGATGATTATCATCTCAATATAAGGAATGATTTTTATTCTAATATTATATATATTCTCTTCCTCCATCATCATTATCATCTATTATCATCATCATCTGTGGGAGTTTTATATATATAACAGGGTATTTACTTCCGTTAATATTGATACTCACTGAGAGACAATAATTCATATAATTTTTATTTCTGTCTTTAACTTGGAGAGAGAGACAACAGAAATCAAAGTAGGATTGTGATCGGTGGTGGGGATCAAATGATAATAATACCATAGGGTTATTATTGATTGGATAATTTATGATGAAGATAATAATATTATCTCGCTTCGTGGCATATTGATAGTTGAAAGATAGTAATGATTAAATTTATTAAGCGACACAAGGTATTTAAGAACTGAAATAATCATGATAAATATATGGGTTCATGGTGAGTCTATGGGAGGGTTGATGGTCGCGAGAGAGAGAGAGAGAGAGAGATGATTTTTAATAGAGATAGATTGTAGGTGGATAATGATAGATAACCGATAGTCGAAAGGGTATTAATAGCTGTGTATACTTGGGGGGTATTTGGAAAATGGTGATGAAGATGAGGAAAGAAGATGCTGAGCAAAAGATGAAAATTTCTTTGATTTAGACTTTTTATCATCAATCCAAGTTATAGGGAGTGAGAGAGATAATAGGATGAGATAAATGCAAAAGGAGTGAGTGATACTGTGAGAATGGAGAGGAGATGATAATGATATTGCATTTGGAAGCGTTTACAGTTCTGAACGTGACGGAAAAATATATACAAAGATTTAAATTGTAACAAGGAAAAATAATGGAAGAAAAACTGATGAAGATGATGATGGAATTGATGAAAATGATGTTGTAGATGAAAGGCATTAATCAAATGACTCCTGTTAGATCCCTGATGAGAACCGGAGGGAATCATGCTCATTATTATCCTCCAATGTACAATGAGAATGAGAGGAAGAGGAAGAGGAGGTGATACGAAGGCTGAAAATAAGAGAGGGTGTGTGTGGATGTTTGCTCGTTGTTTTTGATGATCCTTCTGATATGGACAAGGAAAAAAGGTTATTCCTTAATGAAGGTTAGTCTGGTCAAGCTTGGATGAATCTGGTCAACCCAAAACATTGACCATAAACTTAACATACTTCAAAAATATCTGACTTTCATCAACACTCATGATAACATTTATTATCATTCAAATATTATTATCTGATTATTTTGTATCAATTTTTGCTCTATTGGTTGTATCAGTAAAGACTATCGAACCATAAGTTACCTTGTGGAATCACAGAAAAAAAAATCATTCAAATTGAAGCAAAAAAAATCGTTACTAGTGTTGGAATTGGATTAAATCAAATCATTGGTCAGTTAAGTTACAATTAAATGATTGTCTTGCTAAAGATTTGATTAGCTTAATCATATTATCAATACACATAAATTAAGATAACATAGAGTTGTTAATGGACTCAAGTTCAATTGGTAAATTGATCTTTGGCTACTTATCATTAATTTACTTTTAGATGATTACATTGATTAAGGTTTCATTGTTTTAACTTGTTTGAAATCAGTTGTAACGGTTAATTATTGAAATTTTAAATTCAGTTGAAAGGTTCATTTGTTACTAAGTTAATGGAAACATAATGTAAATCAATTGATAGATTAATTCAAGGGAAAAATATCACCACCTTAAATTATCGTATGCAAAGTGGGGAGAGATTTTCACCGAGAAATTCAGGAAGACTGAATTACATCCTATTTCCGCCTCAACCCATTTCTCCTCCTTCTTGTAGTCTCAATTGCGAGTATTTTATTTTCATTGATTTAATTTACTAAGGCAAAAGAAATTCAATCAAAAGCATAACATTAAATTAGATTTCGAACTGAGCTTTTCATAATTGTTTTTATCTCGAGTTTTGAACATTTACTTTTCTTTTGAATATGAACTTTTTTGTTTCTCTACAAGTGTTAATTTTTATCTTTCTTTTTTTTTCCTCTTCTCAAAAACAATAATATTCATGGGGAATAAAAAGTGAAACCATCAACAATATCAATTGAATTTCCTTCAAGTAAAATTATATCAACTGGTAAACGAAGTGAACTAATTTGTAGAGTTTCCGGTTCCAGGCCACCAGCTCGATTATTTTGGTGGCTTGATGGTCGTCGATTGAACAAATCTCGTGATACAATTTCTAAAGATGGTAATGAGACAATGAGCGTTCTCTCATTTACCGGAACTTCAACTGACAATGGTAAAGAACTTATCTGTCAAGCAGAAAATCCATTGATGAAGAATAGCAGCTTAGAAGAATCAGTCAGACTTAACATTCATTGTAAGTAAATTCTATTCTCTTTTTATCTTCTAATCTCATCATGTTAATCAATGAAAAGATGATGATGATGATGATAACGATGATGGAGAAGATGAAAGAATGAAGGTGAAGAAAAAATTTTATTCTTTTCTCAGGATCTATTGTTATATCACAATCTCTTTTCATTTGATTTCTTTTTTTCCAATGGAATTAAATTTTTTGTTTTCTCTTTTCACTTCCTTCTTTTTTTCCCCATTTACATCTTATCAACGTTTGATTCTTTGCATCCTCATCTTCAAAAGTAAATCAATGATGATGATGATGATGATGATGATAATCATTGACACAACATCATCATCATCATCACCATTGTCCCACCCATAGAAGCCTAAAAGACTTGATCATCTTCCCTCATCCTTTTTTTTCATCAATTATCTCAAATACTGATAATGTTATTACTTGTTAAGAGGCTACAATTAAGGTCAACCGATAATGTTAATGTTCAATAATAACAACAATTTAATCTTGTTAAGATAATCAAGTGTCAATAATTGATTTCCAATAGAATTGATTAACTTACATTTTCAATTTATCAAAAAAAACTAAACTGATTGTTATAATGAGATATATGTTAACTCATTGAGCCTTTCATGATAACAAACTAGCCAGTGGTCAATAACAAGCTAATAATTTATGGTAATTTAATGTTAATCATTTTCATTGTTATTTTAACAATTTACTTAAATAGTAGTTAAATCTGATTGCTAATCATCTTATCACTTGATTAACAATCATTAAATTAGATAAACAGCAGAAAAAAGTAAGGTCATTATCTTTATTGCGAAACCAATGACCATAAATATCACAGAAAACGAGTAACATTTCCCTAAAGAGGTGAAACCATTTGACCATTTAGATTTTCATGTTCATCTTAACATTTTTTTTTGACCAAAGATACTGACCATTTACTGGGCTGCTTGTAATGGTCATCACAGAGATCAGTATAATCTCATGTGTTGATCACTCCCAACGGGCTGGACACAAGTACTCAGATATTAGCATAATCAGTTGTCCGGTTTTGTCTACAATAATAATTGAATCCCTTTGATTGTTAGAGAAGAAAAGTTTTAATTTTATTCGAATGAACAAATTGTAATTCTTATTCTCTTTGCGTAATAATAATCTTCTAGTGGATTAGTTTTTTTCTCTCTCTCTCTCTCACTGTCCATTTCTTTCCCTTTAAATCATCATTATCTTGTAATGATCATGACCGATAATCTTTTAGCTTTGAAAGATTTTTACTTGGATTAGTTGACTTATGATCAAATGTCAATGACAATTGTTAAGACAAACAATCAATTACTAATAATGATAATTATCTATTTTTCTTTGGGGTTGAAGATTAATCAAGGAGAGAGGATGACGACGATGATGATGATGATGATGGAGATGAGTAAATGGAACCAGGAAGAAAAAGAGAAAAATCAATTGAACATGAACTTGATACAAGAAACAAGGGAAATGATTATGAAAGAATAGAAAATGATAAATGAACTTTCTCCATGATGATTGCGATTGTTTCAGCTGATTTATCATCACTTTCATCATCATTGTTGTATTAACAGTAACGGTTACCATTTAAATGACGATGATGATGATGATGATGACCATCATCAGTTTGATTGATTGATAAGATACACAAATGATACAAATTGTACAAATGATTTTATGCTATTTATCAGCTAATCAAATTGTAAACAAGTTTGATTGTTGATTAGATAAGAACAACAACAAAAAAACCAACTTCCTTTTCCGCTTATTTTTTGATTGTAAAGTTTTCCATTGGCTTGACAATCAAAGTGCTTGATGAAACTGACCATTAATGCCCTTACAGAGGTAATGCTTTCATTTTCTAATTGTCTTCTTTCATTTTTGTTCTAATTGTGATTAAATCGCTTATAGATGTTCCAATTGTGAATATTGTTCTTGGTGCTAAAATTGATCGTGACTCAATTCGTGAAGGAAGTGATGTGTATTTTGAGTGTATCATCGATTCGAACCCGTGGCTTACAGAGGTCACTTGGATATTCAATGGATCACCTTTAATGTCCCAACCTTCATCTGGAATAATAATCTCGAATCAATCGCTTGTCCTTCAGAAAGTCAAACGGCAAAATCGAGGATATTATTCGTGCTCAGCAACAAACTCTGAAGGAATTGGAACCAGTGATACCTTTTACCTTAAAGTGCTCTGTAAGTGTTATCTTATTTTTGTTGTATTCGAAATATTTTTTTCCACGTTTGTTTTTCTCGCAAAAAAACTAATAAGAGAAAAGAAAATTATGCAAACAATTAACTTCTTCCAATAACAAATATCCAGTAATCATTCAGATTCTCCTCTGGGTAATCACCAGAGAAAATAATCTTAAGAGGATAAACGAAGAGGAGAAAAAAAGATCTAAAGTTTTTACAGGAGAAAATGCAAAACAAAAAACTCGAAATTCGAAGAAAAAAATTCAATATTCATTTAGAACAAAAATATCAAGGTAATCAGACTCATGAGAATAATCATTTCTAATCATTGCATGAACTCGTATCAATTATTAATCCAATTGAAGATTCGCTTTTGCAATTAGGATAAGTAGACAAATAGATTTATTGACTTGGAAAATCTCAACTTGTAATCACAAGATTGTTGATTAATTACAACGATATCGAAAGTGTTAGTTTGATCCTTCGAATGTCAGAACTTTTTCCTCGAGATGAGAAGAGAAATATTATTTTTTTTCTCCTTTATTCCAATCCAATCATGATTATCGACAATGATTCAATCTTCATGATGGAAACCACAAGTTACTCTCTAATGATAACATTGACCATCTCCATCTGAAGCCTTGACCATCAACCACTCCCAATAAAAAGTTGCAATGCTGATAATTGTTGACCAATTGAAACCATATTATTAACAAATAATCAATTAGATCATTAAAAGGATAATAAAAACCAACAATTAACTGAGATGATCTCAAAAAAAGTTTAGGATATAATTAGAAGCAATTTTCTAGGAGACCAAATAATTAAAACTGATTCACCTTAATGATCAACTGATTAATTGATTAGATATTTTCAATGATGATTAATCATTTAAGTGTGTATTAATTAAATGATCAAATTTAATGATATTCTTTATCGTTAATGATTGTTGTTATATCCTATTAGTTTTTACATTGAGATTTGATGATGATCATAACTGTTAATGATTATTAAGATGATTTAAACTACATTTACAACAATTAAGTGCCAACTTAATTTATTTATTATCCGTAATTTGTTATATTGTTGTTTACTGATTAAGGAGTTATTCATTTATGCTTAATTAAGCTTTAATTATTATTATGTTACCATCAATAAATAATGATAAATAGTTTTCTGTTGTTAGTTAATTGTGTTAATTGTGATGAGCATATAATCAACCTCCGTACGCTTGATTGTCATTAACAGTTTCCCATTGTCATTGTTATTAGGATACAACCATTGTTTATGTATCCTCGCCAAGGGGATGGTGTTGTTGGTGAAGATGATGATGATTATGAGCTTATCATCCCATTCACTTTGATGATCATGATTTTGAATAAAAAAGTTTCATTTCCATTGACACGGCAAAGGGAAAAATGACACTTTTGGTGACAGATAATGAGGTTTTTTTTTTCTGTAAATCTATCGAGTTACTATTTCTTTTAAGAACATTTTTTATTCTCATCTTGATCATCATTCTTATCACTATCATCATCATCATTATCAACATGAGATTCATTTTCTTTTTCTCACTGTTCTCATCAATTTCTTATTACTCTCTTTCGTATAAATTGTTATCTAGTATTTCGAACTTTTTTGCAGATCATCATAGTTCGAATTGAGTTTTGCTTTTTTTTGAACTTTAACCCTTTCCTCTAGTTTATCATGTCTTTTTCCCTCCTTAAATAAGAATCTGGAGATTCAAAAAATCTAAGTAACTTGACGATATTAAAGCGATGATAATGTACAATCATTAACATTTATCTCGCTGGATTTAAGCTCATGTATTTTTCATCATTTCCTTATCCTCTTTTTGTCTTATTCTTAGTATCTCTCTCTCTCTCTCACTCACTCACTCACTCACTCACTATCATCGCCATCATTATTTTCTTCCTTGATTTTGTTATTCTTTTCTTTTCGACATTAGAGTTTTTCCTCTTCACTATTCTGGTGTTCATTTCAAATGCGTTATACTTTTTACGATCGATTCTGAAAATCTCAAAGTTTAAATGTAGCAATCTAATGAAATTACATCACTGGCTGTGTTGTTAAATTAAATCTAATCATGTTAGCAGATGATGATGATGATGATGATAAGTTGTCACTTTCTAAGTGAATTGCATTCAATTTGAGAAAGATTAACTTGCACAATTTCTTAATCTAATATCAAGTAATCGAGAAGATTATCCCATCAGATGAAGAGGATAGAAAAATGTTGAATCAATGCTCTAAATTACAATTAGATACCAAATTGTAACCAATTTTAAGAACAACATTTTCCATGGCAAATCGCTTGCAAACTGTAAATTCAATTGAGATTTTCCCTCTTTACCGACCATTAACTTTCCAATAGGTATATTAATCATCTGACCAATTGCAATAATCTAGATGACCAGAACTTTTTCTCTCTCTTTCTCTGTTCATTCAAAACTATTTTCTATTTATTTCTTTTGTTATTGTTAACATTTTGTAGCAACAAAATAAATGATGTATCATGAAAATTGAGAAATTATATTTTCCATTTACAATGTTTATCTTTTTACATTAAATGTTTTATTATATTGGGATGGGCAAGATGATGAAGATGAGAATAAAGTGAGCATCTTCCAGAAAAAGAAAGATGAAATTTAAGAATTGAGCTTAGGGATAAGATGAGGAGGCGGAAGAGAAAAAATTTCTGAATTGATCATCTATTGGAAATGAATGAGATTCAATTGGAAATGTAAGACTAACATAACAAAGAGAGTTGAAGTGACTTGAATGGGATGACGATGATGATGATGATGATTGAGGTTGAGAGAGGAAGGTAAAAGGTTAATGCTCTGTTTATACCTTGATGAAAAAACGATAAAATTACCAGAGAGTTTTATCCAAACAATGTTAATATAATGTCGTCTCTTTTCACTTTATCTTACATTATTATTCTCGTTCTCTCTCACTTTTCCATCATCATCGTCTCTCCATTGATGCTCATCTACAAGTTATCGTCATGATGATAATGGTTATATAGCCTTTAGAATTGTTCTAAGAGGGAACAAAGTTCTGTCTCGACTTTGAGATTCGATAATCTTGTTTTCTCATCTCTTATCCTGTTATTCAATCAAATGAGTTTAGAATCACTTCTCGTAAAGGTAAATATTATCATCTGTTAATAGGTAAATAAGTTGTCATGGTAATCTGGTTTCAAGAAGATGAATGAAGAAAATTTTTGCAATGAATATTTTTTTTCCTATTCTTTTCAGGGTGAAAAAAGTATATACATTGAAATCTACTGAGAATAAATTAAATTGGTTCTCAGTTCTTGGGTAACCTTGAGTTTGGTAAGCATGATTTTCATTTGAAAGATAAAGTTCTGGACATCGGATTCATTTAATTGACTCTGAATTTCCATGATAACTTTATTTCTCTTTGAGTGAATTACAAATTTACTCTTGTTTCTTGTTGGTTATCATTAAGGATGTTTGTTTACACTCATGTCAACATTTTCCGGGTTTCTAGAAATTCTGAAAAGTTCTGATAACTTGATATTCTTCGGTTAAAAGGGAAGACAGTTCTGTCTGTCTCATTCTCTTCTCCCTCCCTGGAAAATTTAAGATTAAATGTTATCATTGCAAGATAATCTTCTTCTTCTATCATCATGGTTACTTCCTCTTTCTTTGTTTGAGATTTATTTCAATGGTGAAAAAAGTTGAAGATTCAGAATAAAGAGAAAAGAGATAAACATGATAATAGAAAAAAAAGAGAAACAAAATTGTTCTTATCCACTTTCTTGCTTTCCTTTTCATCCTCATCTACATCTTTATGGTTTTCTTATGAAAATGATGCTCATCTTGCTTTTTGCTCTTTTTCTATCCACTATCTTCTCATGAATTTATCTATCATCTCAATGGAAATCAAAGTTCATGATTCAACACTCAACACCAAAGATATATTTCAATGGTCATTCATCAACTCCACTCACTCCCACCACAACCTTTTCCTCCAGATTCTGTAATTTTTTCCCACTCACGTTTGACTTGATATAATCATGAATCTTGTTTTCAAAAACATCATGAAAAGAAAAATTCTAAAACATGAATTATTCCAAATGAAAAGTTTCTTCAGAAAAAGAGAAACTCAAATGAACTTATCTCAAAATCTCCGATAGAAATGATATCTTAGTATCACATTACAAAGTCAATCATGTTAGAACTTTTTTTCGACATTTGTTAATATGCATTTCGAATTGACTTTTCTTCTTTCCTGAATGGAACTTTCCATGGAATAGAAAGAAAACAAAAATGATTCTAATCTTATCTTAGCCAATTAAGTCAATTAGTCGAGTTAATTGTTTTTAGTATTGAATGAAATGCCGAGTTGAATATGAAAACAAGATAATTGAATTAACTCTCTGATAACAATTATCATGAAAGGGATAAGGTACTTAAGTTTCATGGTAAACAATGAAACTGAATATTTCAAGAGTGATAAGATAAACAATTGATACGATAACATTGTAAGTCAATTAATAACAGTGACAAATAATAGCAACAGTTGTTAATTGTTTAATATTTGAACAATATTAATATTTCATCATGTATTCAGAGTTAGTAAATGAAGTTATCATTTATAAAATATTATCATGAAATAAACTTTACAATAACATGACAATTACAAGTGACAATTGAATCACAGACAAGTACAGTATACAAAATGAGGATGACCAGTGACCTTTCACTCCAATTTGAAGGAGCAAAAATCCTGAAAGTCATGAAATTACATTTCCAAGTGAGATAATTCATTATAATTGAATTAATATTGAATCAAATCTTTGGATGAAAATGGCCTAAGGCAAATTTACTTGATTGCTTTTGATATTATTATTTTCATCTATAAATAAATATAATACATATTATATTGTTAATCGGACCTTTGATAACCTTTCTCATGTTTACTTCATGATGATGATGATGATAATG